TGTCTGGGAGCATGGCGGCTCTGGTGATGGTCTTTCCTCCGCTGCCGCGGCTGCGCGGGCTCCTTCAGCGCTGCTGGGGGCGTCTGGAGCGCAGCGTCTTGATGGGTTTCTCTGGGGGCCAGAGCCCGCCCTGGGGTACGTACTGGCGTGCTTCACTCCCGGCTGAACGAGGGGCGGCATCAGGCCCATTTTTTTTTCGGAGGGAGGAGGCTGGAGCAGGAGAGCGCGCGGCCCTGGCGCTGTGAGGGAACGGGGCGGGGGAGCCCGCTGCCCGCTCCTGTCTTCTCGCTTTGGGGGTGTCAGTAGCATCCCTGTGGTATTTCCTCGGCTGCACACGAAAGTGGGGCTTGGGTTTAATTCGTTACCTTTTTTTTTCCTCTGTCCTTCAGGACCAGCACTAGCTGTCCAAGCTCCAGCTTTTTTTCCGCAGGCAGTAAATGACGCTGGCGAAAGCAGTGAGGCACCCAGCCTTTTAGATAGCATCTTGTGGATGGCGGCGCCCAAGAAAAGGCGTACCATTGAAGTGAACCGCTGCAGGCGAAGAAATCCCAATAAGCTTATAAAAGTGAAGGTAATCGCCAAATTTCCATGGACTTGCTAGCTTATTCCCTACAAGCTATTTTGTTAATGGCAAACAGGCATGCTGGTGTGAGATTTACACCAGTCATTTTTCATCTCACTTGTTTGGAGAATCATTATAGTAGTCAATACTGTCTGAAAAAGTTTTCTGCAATTTGTTTATAAATAGGCTTACAAGGCACTGTAGTCTTCAAAACACCTTGTAACAATATGTGACAGTAGTCCGTGGTTAAACAAAAAGTGGCAGTTTAGGTACAAGCCAACAAAATGTGAATTTTGTTTGTTTGTATAGCTAGTATGAATGGAAAAGGTCTGTACTTTCTGTGCATCTGATTGAGGTGATAGGTCTTTAGGCTTCCAAACATCAAGGGGCATAACAAATTAGGCATTGACTTCTTAGGCTATTTTTAGTAGTAAGTATTTGGCATAGCAATACTTTACAGAAAAATTACTTTGCATAAAATAATAAATTTTGAAAAGGCAATTACATTTCTCTAGTACTTCATTTAACATTTTTAGTAGTTTGTGATTATTCCCTGTTTCTTTTGTTGCTGCTGTTCAAGTTACAAAATTTCCTGTCTTTTTTAGAGGAACATAGATGTTTGTCCTGAGTGTGGAAACTTGAAACAGAAACACATCCTTTGTGGCTATTGTTACGCAAAGGTGAAAGCAGAAACTCAACTGATACGGATGGAAATACGTAAAAAGGAAGGAGGACCATTTAGTGCTCCAACTGTAGAGACTGTCGTCCTTTATGAAGGAGAAAAGCCCACGGAAAAAGATGAAGGCAAGCGGATCATTGAAAGAGCCAGGAAGCGTCCATCTTGGTTTGTTCAAAATTGATGCCATAGAACTAATGCTAACCAAAACAGTTGCTACAGCAAGAGAGTTTTCAAGAATGTTTTCCTCTATTTGTTTACTCAGTGTTGATACGGAAAACCTATGAACTTTTGTGGATCCTGCCATATGGTGTTGCAGGCAGGTGTTGTTTCTATAGCATGCAGTTGGAAATGCTTCTCAGTGATACATCATAGCAATCAACAGTTAAAGAGAAATCAGGATCTACCTTGGGTTTGGACGTCTGTGTGCAGTACACTGAATAATTTGTATGTTAATATTCTATGCTGGTTTTGTAAATAACATTTTTTTAACAAAGGGAAAACATTCACAGATGTAAAATAAAGTATATTAAGTTCCCTAGGGGAATCTGCTTTCTGTTTTTGGCTGCTGCCCTTTTGGGGAAAAAAAACCACAAAACAAAAACAAAAAGAAAAAATACCCCACTTTCAGAACCAATGTTGATTAGATACAGAGGATATTTGCCAGGAAAGATAGTTATTGGTTATTGCCATGGCTCTTAACAGAATCTGTGTGGATCTTCCCACAGTGCTGCTGTTTGAGATACTCCGTTATATTCCTGGTTTTGAGTGGCTGCCTTCAAGTGTTTGCACTTTTTCTTTATTGGGCTGAAGGTTAAGTGTTGGTTGCCCTCAGTATACAGAACAATTTTCTGTCTTAAAGGATATGGAAATACTTTCCCCCTTCCAC